CATCTTTCCCACCAACCCCTGGAGAATGATCTTATTGTTGTCATGTGCCATCGAGTCAGACCCGACTCATAGTGACCCCTCCTTGGGTTTCCAAGGCTGTATCTCTATGGAGGTAGATTGCCCAACCTTCCTTCCAAGGAATGGCTGGTGGGTTTGAACCACCAGCCTTCTGGTTAGCAGTCAAGTGCCTTAGCCACTACAATACCAGAGCCCTGGAGAATAGTGAGTATATATTCTTTTTCCTGAATACTGAGATGTATTTAGGATGCAAATTTTAAGAAAAAAGTACATTGTAATGTAAGAATGTTGATGTTAGCCACTATATTACAAGTAACTGCAAGATTATTTGGTTATTTTGGTTAAGTAATTTCTGAGCAAGGAGCCCTGGTGGCACAAAGTTGGTGGAAGAGGTCTTCTCAGTGGCTTCTTGGGAGAAAGATCAGATGACCTACTCCCATAAAGATTATGGTCTAAGAAACCCTAATAGGCAATTCTGTTCTGTTATATGTGAGCCACCATGGACTGGCTTGCACCTAACAACAATAACAGTGCCAATACTAGCATGCAAATCTCAGAAGAATGTAGGTATTAAAAACTCCAAACCCCAATGCTAACATGATTAACTAAGATAAACCACATCATCTGATAATCCAGTAATAATTGTTGTTGTTGTTATGTGCTGTCAAGTCAGACCCGATCCATAGTGACCCCTCCTTGGGTTTCTGAGGCAGTGACATTATGGAAATAGATTGTCCAACCTTCCTTCTGAGGAGTGGCTGGTGGGTTTGAACCTCCAGCCTTCTGGTTAGTAGTCAAATGCCTTAGGCACTATGCTACCAGAGCTCCTTCCAGTAATAATTAGTTATTTGTTGTTGTTAAGTGCCATCGAGTTGGACCCCACTCATAGTGACCTCTGCTTGGGTTTCCGAGACAGTATCACTATGGAAGTAGATTGTCCAAACTCCATTCCAAGGAGTGGCTGGTGGGTTTGAATCACCAGCCTTCTGGTTAGCAGTCAAGTGCCTTAGACACTATGCTACCCAAGCTCCTGAATAATTAGTTAAGCATTCATAATTTGCATGTACCTGCATTTAATTTTTCTGAGTAAATAATTACTATTTTGATGAGGTTTTTTGTAATGAATACCATGTGTCAAGTACTTTAGCTATAAAGTGCCATCCTACTTACATTCCTCCTGTGAAGAGATCAATGTTTTACTGAGATTAATATTCCTGATAAATCAGCTTGACTATAATTACCCAAACTGGGTAGAAGATCCATTGGATAGAGCTAATATATGCAGTTTAGGGGAGAAGAAAGAGGTAGGTAGAATGGTTTTCACACATTTCAGTTGGTCAGATGCTCATTGATCTAAGTGGAAAGGCATGGAGCCATATCAAAAGGGTTTCCTCCTCAAATTGTCTTCTTTTGTTGGAGTCCCACAGATTTTCCACCCTGAGACATGCACCATCATACAATCTACAATGGTGAGAGCTATGACTTTCTTTTGTAATATACTTTACCATCCTACATCTTTCATTACAAGTATCGGATTGAAATGGGTAAAGAAATACAGAGGTAATTGAAATTAGAGTTCTCAGTTGCTCATCCAAAAGTCAGCACTTTGAACCAACCAGCCACTCCGTAGGGGAAAAGACATGGCGATCTGCTTTTGTGAAGATTACAGCCTACAAAACCCTACAGGAAATTTCTCCTCTATCATATAGGGTCATTATGAGTCAGAAGCATTGAATCGGTTCCTCCTCATAGCAATCCTATGTGACAGAGTAGAAAAGTTTAAAATTCTAGCAAATATTTCTTGCCCTCACTTTGCTCAATCAGTATTTCATAAGCCTTCCTTGCATTTAAATTAGTAGGATTTTTTTTAGTCCTGCTGTTCCATTATCCTGATAGCCTCCTATCCCTCCCATCCACATATGTAAATTTTACTGCAAAAATCACATGGTATTCACAGAGTCTTCAAACAAAAGCAATTCCATGCTCTTTTGACACGATATATTACTGGTGTATATTTTGGAACTTATTTTTAGTAGTTGTTGTTGTTAGGTGCCGTCGAGTCTTCTCTGACTCATAGCGACCCCATGCACAGCAGAACAAAACATCGACCGATCCCACGCCAGCTCCACGATCCCTGCTACCCTTGAACCCATCAACGGCAGCCACCGTGTCAATCCATCTCATTGATTGCCTCCCCCTTCTGACAACATGACCAAAGTAGGTGAGACGAAGTCTGGCCATTCTCTCTTCCAAGGAGCATTTCGGGTGCACTTCCTCCGGGTCAGATCTGTTAGTTCTTTAAGCCTTCCATGGTACTTTCAGCATTCTTCGCCAGCACCACAACTCAAAAGCATCAACTCTTCTTCGGTCTTCCTTATACATTGTCCACCTCTTACATGCATACGAGGCGATTGGAAATATCATGGCTTATGTCAGGCTCACCTTAGTCCTCAAGGAGACATCCTTGCAGCACTTGAAACAGTTCCTTCGCTTGACCTTCCCAGTGCTACATGCCGTCTAATGTCCTGACTGCTGCTTCTGTTGGCATCAATTGTAGAACCAAGCAACGTGAATTCTTTGACAACCTCAATCTTCTCTCCATTTATTGTGATGCTATTTTTAGTAGTATGCTGTGTTATTTACATGACTTTTACAATTTCTTTGAAATGAGGGAGACCATTTCCTCTACTTATGTCTTACACACATGTGGTCAGTGCTGAATGTTTTGTAAATTAATGATATGCACAATTTTTTTTTAATTTTTGTTTTACTTGTGTGTATAGAAATGGCAATGAGTAAATGAGACATTTAAACCACTTTTAATTATGTAATATTACATAATTATTTTGCCAGAAAAAGCAGGCACTTTTTTTTTCTTATTTTCACCCTTTTTGGATTATTTTAATTATTAACTTAAAATAGAAATGAAATGAAAATATGAAGAAATATTTTTGGATGTTACCTGTACGTGGATGAAAGCCATCAAGGAGATTAGGGATAATAGAGGAAGCAGAAGAGAGTCGACAGACCCAGTTATACCATCAGTTTAGTCATGTCAACTTAAGAATTCTAAATCACATGATGTAAATATTAAGCAGATATTGTACCCAATCTTTGATCTCAGCACTAAGAAAGTTTAAGGCAATATTAGTGTAGGCTATTAAGGACTGGAGAAGGTAGTATTGATGTAAATATAATGACATCTTTATTGACTAGTAAAAATGAGAATCTACATGGTGCAGTCGTTAAATACTCAGTTGCTAACCAAAAAGTTGGAGGGCCGAACTCACAAGCAGCTCCAAGAGAGAAAGATGTGGCAGTCTGATTCCCTAAAGATTAACAACCTTGGAAACCTTATAGGGCATTTCTACTCTGTCCTGTAGGGTCACTATGAGTTGAAATCTATTAGATGACAATGAGATTGATTTTGTTTTTTAGTACAATTAAAACCAAAATTCAGCTATTGATTCAAAATCAGGTAAGTGATATGATCTGTAGACAACTCTTCATCTTCACAGAACAATGTAGGATGAATGAATTATTTTATCTCAGTTGTACAGAGACAGCTGGCTTTGCAGTATTGTCCAACTAACTTGTCATTACATCCAAGCTTTTTTATTTTCTTCTTACAGATAATAATCGCATCAGCATAGGGGCAGGGGTTAGCTGCAAGGAAATGTCAGTGTTATACAATATTTTCTCAAAAAAATCACAGTCATTGAGATCATCTTCTTTAAGACACAAATATAAATTTTACTAACAATAGCCAATTAAATCTCATTGATGTTGTTGTTGTTATGTGCCGTCAAGTCGGACCCAACTCATAGTGACTCCTCCTTGGGTTTCTGAGACAGTATCACTATGGAAGTAGATTGCCCCATCTTCCTTCCGAGGAGTGGCTGGTGGGTTTGAACCACCAGCCTTCTGGTTAGCAGTCAAGTGCCTTAGGCACTATGCCACCAGAGCTCCTAAATCTGAATTGAGTACAAGTAATACGTTAAATGAGGTCAATTATCAAAAGAAGATAAAATTCTGGTTGTTATATAAAATTGGTTTCTTTCATTAGGATTCTTTTTTTGATGTGACTCTATCTTAGTTGGCTGGCAATGTATCCTCTTTTTCTATTACATTATCAATTTGAAAGTATCTGCAACATAAATAATAAAAAATAAAGCAAGAAAAGTTTAAAATTTTATGAATTCATTATAGTTAGTATATTTAGTTAAAGATTTAGTATTAAAAAATTAAAATTTTGTTTTGTATTATTAAAAGTAATGTATACACAATGTAAAAATGAATAAAGACTACTTGTAAGATAAGTAAAAAAGAAATCTCATGTATTATCTGTATTCACAGATAATCTCAATTAACATTACAGTGGATCTCATTTTTTGTATCCCCTGAACAGTCAGGCAAAACACATGCCATATATATATACATGTATATAAATACACATAAAATTCTCCAGTGATTTTTGAAATATTCACCATTTTTAATGGTCATGTCTATAAAATTTTAGAAAAGCATTGTTGTTGTTTTTGTTGTTATGTGCCGTCGAGTCAAACCCGACTCATAGCGACCCCTCCTTGGGTTTCCGAGGCAGTATCAATACGGAAGTAGGATTGCCCAACCTTCCTTCCGAGGAGTGGCTGATGGGTTTGAACCTCCAGCCGTCTGGTTAGCAGGTAAGTGTCTTAGCCATTATGCTACCAGAGCTCCCTAACCTGAATTTCTCTAATTATAAAAATTAATTAATGACATCATTTTTATATATAAAGTCAAATATAACTTCTTTATTCCAGATTGTCTTAGTTTAATACACACTATGGAGCCTTCACAATTTGACATGAACTTAAACTTTTACATTATTAATCTTCTCTTTCAATTATAATTTGTAGTCATTGCATTTAATTTACAACACTTATAATTTTTTCATTTACATATATGTCCAACTCTTGAAAAGTTTTATTACCATATTTCCATCAGCGCCTCCCCATTTCTAAATTCTCCAATTTGATTAATTTGTCAATAACCTGGAGAATGATCAAAGGAGGTTTATCAAAATGCATCATGGAGAAAGGATGTGGGTGTTATTACTGTCTGAGCTATTGTACTGAGTGTACTGCTGCTTTCTACTGTGGCTAATAATTTCCCAATGTAGTTATTTTTCATCATTCTTCTATCTGTTTTCTTGTAGTTAGTATTCTGAAGAAATCTGATGTCAGTGGATATTCTTTTCTTTATAGGTGGTGTGTATTCTTCTTTGACTACTATGTGGTGTTTTGATTATCTTTCCTCTATTTTTATTTTTTCATTTATAGTTTTCCTCAATTTTTATATGTAGGAATTGCTGCATTTCATTAATTTTATTTGAAATACACTAAGTGAATTAGATCTGCATATCCAGATCTTACAATTTTAGTATTGATTCTGTTCTAAAAGGGCTGATTTCTTCATTCTTAACTGTATCTTTTTCTTTAGTAACTCTCATGTCTCATATTTGTAGGTGAAAAAAGCTTAAGATATGTATCTTTTATGTCATATATTCAATATTCTGGAGTAGGAGTAGCACTTCTCTCTTTTCTATTTTCATTTTAACTCTATTATATTTTTCAAATCATTGTAGACATTGCTTTTCTCTCTTCCTTAAAACTTACACCCTGTGGGCAGACAATGGTCCTATAAGTTTATATGAATGATCAGAATTCCCAGGT